TTGCTCAACAAAATGAATTGGTATCACAACCACCATCAATCTCAGAATTATCACCAACATCAGCATTATCACCAACATCAGCATCATTAACATCAGCAACATCATTAACATCAGCAACACCAACATCAGAATTTCCATCTTTGCAACAAGTGTCAGCTTCTCAACATGCATCAATACAATCGGGGGAAACTGAACAGTTGTCATTGAGTGATGATCCAGTTGAGTATGTCACCTACCAAATACCAAATGGCGAGCAAAATCTGAAAATACAGCATTCCAGCCCGTTAATACGTTGTATAATAGGCGAACTAATGAGTGTGCACACACCTGTGACGAACAGGCAAGATTTGCATTTGATTCAATAAAGCTGGTCAGTGAAGTAAACAGAGAGATAAATGACAGCTTAACCCAAGCTGATACTATCGAAGAAATGTTGGACAGCATGGAAATGTTGTGGCTACCCCATAATGAAGCTTTAAGTATGCACGAGATGCGCATTAGTGAGAAACAATTCAATTCACAACTAAAATGGTTTTATGAATATCATAAACAAATATTCAATGAAAATACCACATATGTAGATGTGAAGGATATAACAAGTACGTCAGTCGTATTACATATCCGCTTGAATCTCATCCTTGACCGACTTCGGTCAAAGAACGACGGAAAAATCGACAGAAAGAAAGTAGATACTGCTATAAAAGTACTTGGTACATACGGGAGAAACGAGACTTTGGAATAGCCCACATTATGGAAGTAATGTGAGAGCACAATCTTTACTGTTTGGGCTCCTTTCCTGGTCTTCATAACCACTCCTAGTGAAATCAAAAGAATGTACTGGATGCAGTGACAATATTTATGTTGTCCGTTTCTTCTGCTTGTCGTTTTGTTCAAACCTGGCTTGATCTGCTATTTGTGGCATACAATATGATTTACAACCCAAATTTGAAATACTGGTTGACATTGGACGTGGAAGTTTTGAAACATTTAAAAATTGATTGGTGTTGGTTGTGGGGTGTTGAAGTCTTGTTCCTGGTGATGCAGACTTGCTAAAACATTTACTAGGAATTGGTTGTACTTGTGTATCATACTGTTTCCTATTACATCCCTTGGTAACACTCTATTGATCTCTGGTTGCGATTTCTTGACGCTGGATCCTCTCACTTTTGACTCTTCATGAATATGTCTAGTAAGGATCTTGTTTTAGGATTTGTCATAAAGATCTTTTCATGAAACAAGGGGTAGCACCTTAGTCCTCTGTGTATTTCCAAATCATACAACAAGTCTCCCCAAGAGAGCAAGCCCTCTACTTTTCTAGATTAACCAGTCGAATTGAGTCCTTCATTTGGTAACTATAAAGAGAGGTCAGCTGCTAGAAAAATTACACCCGTCGGGTACCAATCTAAGTGTGCATTTCGATTGTTAAAAATAAATTAGACCTCCAATTTTCCACTGAACAACTTTCGAAACGTCTTCTGGGCTGGGCATTTTTCATGTGGTGAGATACATCTTGAACATTTTCAACCAGAGGTCGACATGAAAGTGGCATTTCAACTAATTCGCATGTTTCGTATTTCTTGAGTCAAGTGGTACCCCTATCCGTATCACATGTTTGCAAGCATTAGTATTGTGGAATGAATGATGGTAAGAAGCAACGGTAACCGATCGTGGCATTAGATTAAGCAAATAGAAATAGGCTAGTAAATGGCTGTATCATAATCCTGGATTCCTAAAGCAATCGAATCAATTTTGTTCCCTTAATGAAACTCTCCGCTTGTGTCCACTTGCTTATGTTCGTTTGCTTTTCTTCATTGGAAGCAAAAGATTAGAATGACAAAAAGTTCCGATCCAACAAACATAACTCCACACACGTAAGAGTGTATTGATTCTTCTTCACTTTTGATGCTCGTTTTTCGACTCCAGGCAACTTTATAAATTTCAACCTGGTGGGCGGTAGAAGCCTCGGCCCATGTTGTATACTTTGAGCATCAGCCATCAGCAGTTGTATAGATATATCCTCCTGTAGATTTCCACGCAAACACATTACTAAATCATAGAGCTGCAATTTTCATAAAGCATAGCTCATCTATCGAGTAACACGACAACCGATTTAAAGGTCAAAAATATGGAATAAAGAGTGGTTGTCAAATCAAATTGCCGTAACTTTAGGATCAAAGTGACTGTTGAAATTAAAATAAGGAAACAGCTTAGCCTTTCAAATATTGTTATTTCTCAACTAATTTTTCGTTTCAATTAAGCGTTGATGCCTGTGCATTGTAGTCTTTTGTAATAGTATGCAAGGTTGATGATTTGACTGTTTAGGTCTCACATTGTAAACCGGAAAAAGAGAAAAAAAAAATCAGAGATGCCTTTATCAGTAGATCTTTTATCATTAACAACTTGAAACAAATATTAACTAGCTTAACTCACCATGGGTCTTGCGGGTACAAAAGTTAAGCAAAGATTTGGGCTAGACCCTAGAAACACAAACTGGTCCAATGACACATCTAGATTCGGGCACCAGTACTTATCAAAAATGGGTTGGGCTCCCGGTTCAGGTCTTGGGTTAGTCAAGGACTCTTTAACTACTCATTTGAAAATTCACATCAAGACCGATAACACGGGCTTAGGTGCCAAATTGAAGAAAGCAGACAAAGACAAGAATTTGGATGAATGCAGTGGACTCGATGCATTTCAACGAATTTTGGGAAGATTGAATGGGAATGAAGAGAAGGTCAATAGTGTACTTGATAAGAAGAGAAACGATAACATTTTGAATGGGAAATGGGGGATGAGGTTTGTCAAGGGGGAAGTGTTACTGAGTACATGGGACAAGGACAATAAGATGCTAATTTCATACAAGAATAAGAGTCAGGAAGACACTAAAAAACGAGATTTTGAGGAAGTGCAAGAGGAGGGGGATGTACAGAAACCACTGGAGAAGAAGATGAAGTTGGAAAAAGATGATTCTTATGTTGTGCTGAGACCGAAAAAGGAGAAGAAGGAAAAGAAGAATAAAGACAAGGTCTCGAAGTCCGAGAAGAAAGAGAAGAAGGACAAGGAATCAAAAAAGAAAGAAAAGAAGGGAAAGGACAAGGACAAGGAATCAAAAAAAGAGAAGAAAGAGAAGAAGGAAAAGGAGTCAAAGAAGGATAAAAAGGAAAAGAAAGATGGGAAAGTAAAGAAGAGCAAATCTTCTAAATCAACTAAATATGATTCAAGTCGAGGCAAAGACTCGATGAATTCCAAACAAAGCCGGCTAGAGGCTGAAGTAGATTCGTCCATATCCAATCTCGATTCACTGCTGTCTCGAGATTCCACGCCCACACCAATAGCATCGAGATTATCAGGAAGAGCAAAATACATTAGACAAAAACGAGCCTCAGTAATGGACCCCAAAGCATTGAATGAGATTTTCATGATTTCTAAGTAGGGTTTTTTTTTTGTATAAATCTAAATTTTACATTTTTATTTACTTCTACCTACACTCATAAAGCAAACTGTTAAAACTATATGTGATTTAGAATTAAACACTTTTAAAAAATGAATGAAACGCCACCAACAAGAGTAGTTACTAGTCCAACATAGGAAAATAATTTGAATCTGGACATGCTTGAAACATTGTTGTTGTTTGCAGCGTTGGTGTTTGATCTTGATCCCGAAGCGGTTGACTGAGAATTGCTGCTACTAGTTGCACTGGCAGTACCAGTACCTTGAGATCTTCTACTTGAGCCAACCCCACAACTTGAAGTTGATTCAGCGTTCCTGTTAACTGATGCACTTCCATTGAAATCACAAGCATTGCTGTTTTCATTTTGGCCATGGTAATACAAATTCAAAACAAATGATAATTTGTCACGATGGGAGCAAAAGGAATAGTCACCATAGTCACCCGAAGTTCCGTTGACACTTATATCGGAACAATCAATTCTTCCACAAACTTCAGCATAAATTTCACCGTAGTCTTCTTCATCTACGTCGTCGGCAACCACACAATCAAAAGATTTGGCAATACAGTCACAGAAATCTTTGTCTGGAGTTGGAGGCAAATCTGCTGATGCTTGCCAAGTTGAACTGTCCGTGTCTGGGCATGTAATGGTCAGGGTAGCGGTGTCTTCATTGGAGGCTCTGGCATAACTAGGACTAATATTGTTAATTTCTGAACTGTAGTATTTGTAATCGTCCAAGATGGAAACTGATGACCCTCTAATTGATACCAAACCATATTCGTTATCTTCTTCAAAATACATATAAACAATACCGCCAGACCAAACATCTGACATCAATGGTGAATACAATGTTTGAACTTCAGTGAAGAGACGTGGTCTCTTTTCATTACATCCATATTCTGAAAAAAAGATGGGCACTGGCAAATGTTCAAATTCTTCGGTCCTATCTTGATACCCACTAGTGGCAAACGTTGAATTTCCACACCATTCATACATATTGATCCCAAAGAAATCGGCTCTTTCTTCAACTGAACCACAAGCAAAATAGTCAGCAATGGCAATTCTGGTGTCTTCGTCATCATTTGAACTATAACCAACAGGGATTTTCCTCATTCCATCGGAATCATCAATATATTTCTTCATGTCTCGAACTGCAGCTTTAACAAATGGTGAAGCATCAGTATTTGATCTGTTGTTGGTAACTTCATTACCGGCGAAGAACCCCAATACATTGGAATATTCGCTCAATTTATCAATAACTTCAGTATATCTCTCATAATGATCTAAATCCCACAGAGGATCGTTCCTGTTGATTGAAGTTTGCGGTTGTGATAAATCAGCAATAACATAAATCCCAGCTTCACTTAAAAGTTGCATACATTCCTCATGGTCCAAATCGGGGTCAATTGCATATACCCGCAAACAGTTGGTATTTAGAGCTTTAAAATGCTCGACATCTCGTTTACAAGCTTCAACATCAGCCAAAGGGTCTTTATATGTGAGGTTGGAGTTGGAGATTAATGCAGTGTCTTCTTGGTAAGCAATACCACGCATAAGAAACTGTGAACCATTGTTGGAGTAAAAAAACTTGTTGCCCACAATTTCAATGGGTGGGGTAGTATCTTCAAATTTAGCCCAAATTGGAGCTGCAAGTGAGAGCAAGCAAGGAAGGAGTTGAGTGTTGAATTTCATTGCCTGTATGGATGTTGAAGGAATCTATACTAGGAACTATGTGAAGTTATATAAGTGCTGTTTTGTAGTTGTGGACCAACAAGTACGATTTGTGTATTATTTGTGGTTGCGAAAAAAGATGGCTGATTAGATAATCAAAATGGAAACGAAAGAAAAGCTTTTTCACACGTTTTGAGCTAAAGTGTAATTGTTGGAATTATATAATCTTGTATTTGAATTATTCATCTTTTTCTTCTTCTGAACAGATCTTGTTGAGTATTTATAGTTCTGCTTCGTTGTCGAAGTTGTAGTTTGTAGTTGAAATAAAATTTTATTCTTGAAAAAAATTCTTGTGTCTTTGTTTTTGTTTTTGTTTTTGTAAAACCACCCAATAAAAATTATTTCCTTGGCTAATACCCGCTTTTTCTTGCATTAGTTGTACATACATGCTTTACAGCTATATATACTTACAAAACCGTGTAACGACAAACATAGGTCAAAAGAAGTAGAAAAAGGAAAACATCCAATAATCAAAGAGAGAGACATCAAAAAACACCTTCGACAACAACGACAACAACAACAAAAAAAATATGTAAAGAATGATACATGTGACAACAGTATTTATTCTGTTTGTTGTTCTTTTTAAGGCAAAAAGAGTATATTTCATGTAGTTAGTGTATGTATGTATGTATTTGATTTGTGTAAAGACCATTTATATCTACACATTAGTTGCTCAGTCGGTCTGTTAAATAAAATTTAGCCGAGAAATTTTAAAGCAAAAGAACAAAAACAAAAAAGAAAACAAAACAAAATCACGTATAATATTGCACGTGATCCGACAGAAAATGACTGAAAAACATTGTTTTGTATTTGCAAAAGATATAATAGCCGTTTTAATGTATCTAACTTACTGTATGCCAGATGGTAAGCTTCAACATACAATTAGAACACTCTATTCAATTAGTTCGTCTAAAAGTGGCTGAGTTATTAAACATACAATACACTATACATATACGCGTGATGGTAAAAAGTACAAAAGAAGAAAAAATAAAATTTTGCAATTTTTAACTTGGCACAGGCATACACAAGAAAAAGAGTTTGAATTTTGAATTTTGGAAGGAGGTCAGTTGTAAAAGAGACATTATAACAGTCCAGAATTAGAAGTTTGCAGCCAAATGACGAAGGGGAAGGGGGGAGGCAATGTTATTTAAGTTTCTATCAAAACGAGGGGAATAGCTACCAATTGATATATCGGTTCTTGCACGACTTTTCATAATGGATCGATAGTATTGAACCTTCAGTTTCACAGTTTAACAGTGTTATAATCCTACCTAGGATAGTTAACACGGGTGGTTCAATTGAGCTCTTGTATATCCTCCTTGTGGCTGCATATCGTATGTTACTTGTAGCTCAACAATGTATCACTCAGTATACAGTAACATCACTATCACTAGAGCTACACAAAGCTAATCGACATATTGTTGTCGTATATTTACGACATTAGAATAACGTCTAATACACCTTTAGTACAACAGTCAATGGTATTTGCACAACTCAAAAAACCGAATGAAATGTACCATAGTAATCCATCCATGAATAAATTAATTTTACAATCTCACGATATCACAACACACCTCCTTGGTAGACGGAGCGTCCTTGTTTTCCTTGTACTTTTGTTCATCAATACAACAGGGGTATGGCGGCATATGTTTTCAGGGTTCAGCTAATACAGACTTGACTAGATGTATATTGGATCAGTTTTTTAGTTAGTACTGGTCAATATAACTCATCTTCCAATTTTGTTTGGTCAAAGTACGCCTCCACTAATATAAAATAATCTCCAATATTCATACCAAGGATTCTTTCGCTGTGGCTTTCTTCATTAGGAGTACATCTAAAACCAAATTAGTACATGACTTGTAACGATACAAATATAATTGAAGATGTATAGTACCTTTTTTTTACCACCCCGTCACCGTTTGGTTAATACTATACTATAGTTGCTTCATAGTGCTAAAGACACATCTCGAAAGTTTCGTAATATCCACCAAAGGCTCCACCATATACCTTTAAAATCAATCCACGTAAGCTAATTAAAGGAAGCACAATTGCCCTTTAAACCCAGACTGCATTTTTTTGAGTTGGTGTCGGTGTCGGTGTGTGTGTGTTTTATTTTTTATTTTTTCGTTTTAATTCTTGTGTATTAATTTTGCAGTTAAATCAACCATAAATATAACTTAGAGCTTCAATTTTATCGGTGTTTTTTTCCCTCCAACCACAAACATATCAAACATTGCAATTCAACAATGTCATTCAAATTAAGCACCATTATCTTATTATTTGTCCTCATTACGGGTATCTGTGCCGCTTCCTTAAACAAAGTTGGTGAATATGGAACTTATATGAATCCAAAACCACGTAAAACTGCCAAATGTGAACCAAATGATTTAGTTAAATTATCCACTTGTTGCAACGATGTTCTTTCCAAATTAGACGAGTGCAAGCCTAATGATTTAGCTTGTGAATGTTGTGCTTTGCAGAGTATTGATGATGAGTGTTATCATTTATGCCCGGGAAACCCCAATACCAATTTCTTGACTGTGTTGTTGCTGGACTGTGCTGAAATGAATGAAGTCAACGCTTGTTCTTTACCATTTAAAAAAGAAGACCCTGAGCCTCCAAGAAAGAGTATTGTCAAGACTGATGAAGAAGATCCAAGGGTTTTAGATGAAGCAGTTGATGCCAGTTTACAAAGTAAAGTTTACAATGTTGAGTCCTTAACTAAACAACCCCATTTCAAAAATCAAAATCCCAACTTGCTGGTCAATGATGAAGAGAAGAAAGAAGCAGAAGAGGAAGACAATCAAGTAGATACTGCAAATGAAGCAGTTGTTGTGGAAGAAAGTGCAGTGATCCTTGTGAATGTTTCTTCCAATTATACAAATTCCTCAACAGTTAGTTCATTGAATGAACAACAATCTGGTTCAATTGGATTCAATTTACCAAATATGGTGATGTTATTCATCTTTGTATTACTAGTTGCCATCCAATAAGTGAGGAATTAGTATCATGTGTCGCCGCCGTTGTTTATTCTTCAATCGTGGCGGTTCCGCTTTCTCTAACAAAAAACAAAAATAAAAAAAAATTATGTCAGTCGTATACAAATATATCTGTCTTTTATAACTTTTCATTGATCCATTCGAGAGTATTGATTATACCAGTCTCCAAATCCACTGCAGGTTTATACCCCAACAATGTTTTAGCTTTCGTGATGTTATGGTATCTGGTTGCACAAACAACCCTAACTCTAAACGGAGTTAAACCGGGTTCTTTGCCCAAAAAGTTGGATACAAATTGTGAAATGTATCCTAATCCAATGGCAAGCGTCCTATTCAATTTAATGTAATATGGGTCTATAACTCCATCATTCTTCCACACTGTTCGTGCCAAGGTCCAAAAATAAGTTGGTGCATCATTAGTAACGAAAAATGTCTCTCCACAAACTTTATCTCTAGTGCTTTCATCCAAGAGCTTTTGAGCTGCAAGTACATGTGCATCAGCAACATTTCCAACATATGTCCAATCAAACAAATTGTTATTGTCCCCGAGTTGATACTTGGATTGACCTAATTTGGCGCTCGCTTTCAAGCCAGGAACTAATTGACGATCACCGGGGCCAAAGATACCAGCAGGTCTCAAGCTCACTGTTCTAAATCCATTATCAGGGTCATTGGCTTCCAATACGGCAGTCTCGGCAATAGCTTTAGTTTCATTGTATCCATCCATATGCACTTCAGGGTATGGCCATGATTCATTAGCATTAATGACATTCTGACCATTGAAAATAACTCCAGCTGATGACGTATATACAAATGACCCAATTCCAGTTTCTTTAGCTACTTTAAGTAAATTGTTGGTACCTTGCACATTAACTTTTTCATAAATGTCTTGCGATAGTCCATGCATTGGTGATGCCGAATGAACGAGCACGTCGCATTGCGACTTTCGTATAGCATCGGCCACATCATCAGCATTGGTTAAATCTCCTTTGAAGAACTCAATAGACTTTGGATCAAACGTGAAAAATTTGGAAAGTTTCTCCGGCAAAGGACGAACATCAAATACGGTGACTTTTATACCGGGACAATGAGTGACAAATTGTTGGATCAAATGAAGTCCCAAAAACCCAGAACCACCAACTAATAGAACAGAGTTCAAAATTTTACCTGCCATAATAGCTATCTGTTTTTGATAAAGCGAATATGCGTTGAAAATGGCGGATAGGCTCAAGGAGGAATTTAATTTTCCCTTTTGTTTTTGCTTTATTGAGAGAAGGAAAAAAAAAAAAAAACGCGTACAGAGTCTTCAAATGTATATATGTATATGGAAAAGAATATCATTCCAAGGGATGCTACAAAAGATCATTTTTTCAGTCGTTTAAAAATTGCATGTAGGTTGCTTTTTTGAAGATAAAATAAGTTGAAATAGAGGTCTATATAGCCAGGTAAAGTCCAACTTGAACCAATGATATGTATAATCACGTGACCGGCATCATAATCGTTCTCAAAAATAAAAATTATAAAAAAAAAGGGCTTTACCATAGAAATATACTGAAGCATGAAAGAGGAGCAATTTCAAATAAAATATTTACTGACTATTCTTGTTAGTTATAGAATCTAAACTACTCAAAGTATATATACTTTTTAACTATAAACGTATTTTTTCTTTCATAAGAGGAGAAGAATAGAAGGAAGCAAAAGGAATAAATGAATGAATAAATTAATGAGACAAAATGTAAACAAAATGTAAACAGAAAAAAAAAAAAAAACAAAATCATTCGACCACAGAAAGAGAAAGAGAGTGCTGATTTCATAAAACTCTTCTAATCTTTTATCACCATTCTCATCATACACACCCACGCATAAACATACGCATATCTAATTTTACATCAGGAATGTCATCAAATGATAATAACTCTAAAGATGACATTAGATTACAATTGTCAGATATGCAGAGACGATTGTTTACCAAGAAATCGTCTCACAACACGCTAAGAGAATCTACCAGTTCGAATCTGCAGCAACTGCAGCAAGGCACACACCCATTGAGCCAGCATCATGATCAAGAAAATGCCTTTGCTTCATCCTTACATCAAGAAAGGCGAACTTCAAGCGGTTTGGGCTTGCCAGCTGTCAAAAGATCAAAAAAGATTGAGAAACTGCATCCATCTTTACCTTTGGCAGCAGAGTCAAAAGGTAATGATATGAATTTTGTGGTTGGATTGAGTGACAACTTGATGATAGAATGTCGAAGGTTGAATGCAGACAATAGTAAGTTGAAACTGAAATTGAAGCAGGCGTTGCAAGATGCCCAAACTTTGAAAGCAGAAACTATCAAATTAAGCAACTCAAATCAGACTTACAGCTCCAACGAAAGTGAGTTGAAGGATAAAAATTGGCTGTTGGAGAGCAAGGTTAGTAGTTTGCAGGATGACTTGCAAGCACTTGAGAAAAGCAATGACAAACTAAAGGCTCTTCAAGAGGACATGAACAATCAGTTGAATCATATAACGAAAAATAATGATGAACTAGATATTACAAATTCGTTGTTACTGAAGAAACTAAAGGATATGCATACCAGATATGAAAAGGACATCATGGAATTAAGTCAACGTGTAGAAAGCCTCAATGATGAAAATGATGTGTTACAGTCTAAACTTGCTACTATTCAACCTGCTGCAGCAGCTAAAGATGTCACTAGTAGCCCTGATACCTCAAAACAGCTGGCTATTCCTATGGGCACTTATTCCAATGTTTATGTTTCTGGACTTGAATCAATCTTGAAGGAACTAGAGCAAGTTGAAGGCGAGTCTTTGAGTTCGAAGAGTTCAAATTTAAGCAATGCGATATCAAGATTGAAAACTTTGGTTGGTAAAGTGCCTTCCCAGGATGTAAATAGTCAATCTACCAAGCAAGAGCAAGAGCAAGATACCCCATTAATCAAAGAAGTGCCTTCTTCTGGTGGGGGGAATCGTACTGAGAAGAAAATTGGCAAATTATCTAAACTCTCCACTGGTGAGGGAACTGATAGGAATGACTTCCTAGAAAAAAACATCGAGAGCACATCAATACAGGATTTTCCAAGTACTACCGGTAAACACATTGAACACGTTAAAGATACCAAATCGGTAGCTGACATTTTCAGTCAATTTGAGAATTTGCCCAAGAATAGTGAGCACGATGCGAAATTAGCTGCACTAATTGAGAATAGAGGTATGAAGGTGTTAACAACTACCGAATACCAAAAGCTAGTCGATAAGGTAGAGAGCATTAAGTCACTACCTGAGGGTGTCACTAGTATACCGGAGGCAAAATTGAAAGAACTTGAGCAAAAGGCACAACTATGTGATCAGCCAGATATCAAATACATTACTAACCGTGCCCAATCGCTCGGGCTCGTTGCTATAGATAGCCACACCTATAAAGAATTAAATGAACTTGCAAATAACCCCAACATAGAGCACATACTGCAAAAGGCAAAGCAACACAACAAATATTTAATTTCAAATGAAGAATTGCAGCATTTTCTTCATCCTAAAGAGGATCAAATAAGAGAAAAAGCGAAAAATTTGAACTTGAAGGTTTTGACTGAATCCGAAATTACATCGTTGCAGAATCCTTCGTTGGCAAGCGTTAATGATCTAGCATCCAAGCATGACCACGTTCTTATGCCTTCCGTTGAACACAACAAGACACGTAAAATGATTGATAGCCCGACATTGGACTATTTGAAAAAGCACCTAACTGCACATGAGCATACGCCAATGGGTAACAAAGAACTTCAAGACTTGCTTCAAAGAGCCAAAAACCCAAGTATTACAGAAGTACAGCAACACGCTGAGAAAAAGGGATTAACAACATTGACAAAGGAGGAACATGAAGAGTTGTCGTCGCTTGCCCACAAACCTAGTCTTGAGCACCTAGAACAAGCTGCCGACAAGAAGGGTTATGCTCTTGTTGAAAAGCAGAATTTGGAAAAATTACAAACCATGGCGTCCAGTCCACCTGTTTCTCATTTAAATGAGGTTGCATCAAAAAATAATATGACACTAGTTCTGCGGACTGAATATGAAGAATTGCAACGGTTATCCACGCAGCCTGACTTGGAGCATGTTAAAGGCGTTGCATCCAAGATCAACTACTCGGTGGTATCAAATGACGAGTACGCCTCTATTGTCAAGAAGGCAGAAGATCCTGACTTGGAGCATGTTAAGGATGTTGCATCCAAGTTGAGTTACTCGGTGGTATCAAATGACGACCTTGAGGAATTGAAAAAGAAAGCAGAAGATCCAACCATTGAACAGATTGAGACTGTAGCTCAAAAGAAGAATTTGGCAGTGGTAGCAAATGACGAGTACACCTCTATTGTCAAGAATGCCAATGAGCCTGACTTGGAACACATCAAATATGTTTCGACTAAACTCAATCACCAAGTTATTGATCGTTCCGAGTTTAATGAGATAGAAAGAAGAGCCAACAAACCTACAATTGAAGAAATTGAGTCCAGAGCTTCTTGTATGGGGATGGTTGTTGTTGATTATAAAACATACCAAAATTTGTGTCATCCTGCAGAAAAGGACCTTCGATCACATTGTGATAACTTGAATCTCCATCTTTGTCATAAATCTGAATTCAAAGAACTTTGTGATAAACTTGAACACCCCGACATGGACTATTTAAAGGACAGTGCCGAAAAGCTTGATCTCTCCTTGATCGATAATAGGGAGCTTTCAACATTAAAAGAGAAAGCAAATGAGCCAGACTTGGCACATTTGGAGGAAAAAGCACGCGTAATGCATTATGTCGTCTTACCTGAAGACAAATTTAATTCAATGGAAAGGCAATTAACTGACCCAAGTGCTGACGAAGTAAAAGAACTGGCCAAATCTCTCGGCTTGGTTGTCCTCGAAGAACAAGAACACAGTAAATTAACAAATCCATCAAGAGTTATGCTTGAAAAGACAGCCTCCATATATGGTTGCTCAGTCGTCACTACTGAAAAAATGGGGAGATTGGAGCAGCTAGAAAGCAATCCTTCAAAAGAATTTTTGGTTTCCAGGGCATCAGAGAAAGAGTTAGTCGTCATGCCAAAGAAGGAATTCAATGAATTGAGTGCGAAAGCTAATAACCCTTCTAAAGAGCACTTGGCCCAGAAAGCAAAGGAGATTGGCTTTGTTGCTATTCCTCTACTGGACCATGAGACGTCACGTTCACAGTTAGATAACCCCACTATTGATTTTTTGAAAGAAAAGGCTCAATTATATGATCAAGAATTGGTCTCATCATCGACTTTGACTAGTTTACAAAATATTGTGAACGACCCAAGCCTTGAATACTTAACCGGAAAAGCTAGAGAGCACCATGCGACTATTGTGGATTCAAAAGAGTACAATAGTTTGATTGAGTCACATGCATCACCTAGTACAGACCAAATAAGAGACAACGCTCTCAAGAATGGTTACGATATCGTACAACTTGATGAACTTGCTGAGTTGAAGAAAATAAGGGACGATCCTAATGTTGATGATGTGAGACGAATGGCTGCAGCTTTAGATCTCGTTGTCTTATCGGAATCAGAGCACGTTGATCTTTCTCATCGCATTGATTCGCCTTCCATTGACTACCTAAAAGAACATGCTAATAAATTAAATTATACGATGGTTAAATCACAAGACTACGACGAGTTGGCTGCGTTTGTTGAGTCTCCATCAAAGGAATTCATAACAGAGAAAGCACACTTCGTAGGGCTAGCAGCTGTACCGGAAGAGGAATACTTGGTATTGTGTCACAGAGCAAATGATCCAGATTTGGACGAACTAATGGCACAAGCAAAATCAAAAAAAATGACTTTGATTAATATTGATGAGCTCGAAAGTTTACATTCTCAACTTAATACCCCAAATGCGGACTATTTGTCTGAGCATGCTGAGAAGGCGGGTAGTGTGATCATACCAAAGGAAGAGTTCGCTGTGATGAAACAGCTGATAGAATCACCATCAGAAGAGTATTTGAAGGAGCAATGTGGAAAACACAAATTGGCAGTGCTTTCAGAGTCGGAACTCACAAAATTGAAGTCATGTGCTGAATCGCCTTCAGTGGACTTTTTAGTAGAGAAAGCTGAAGCAAGGGACTACAAAGTTATCAAGAAAGCGGACTTCTTAGACATAGTCAAGAAAGTTGAAAACCCAGATATGGAGCACTTAAATAAATGTGCTGCAGAACGTAATGTGGTGCTTGTTCCTGATCAAGAGTACAAGTCATTGCTAGAACCCAGCAGGTCTTTGATTGAAGAAAGAGCATTGACTTTAGGGTTGGGGGTGATTGCTAAACCTGACCTTGACAAGTTGAAGAAATGTTCAGATTCACCTGATATTGAACACTTAAATGCCAAGTCAAAGGCACTTGGTCATGAATTGATTAACTGTGATCAGTTAGTGTCTTTACGTTCCTCGATCGAAAATCCTAGTCAAAACTATCTCAAACAAAAGGCTGAATCCATTGGTTGTGTAGTTATTGAGAAAAGCGAACTAGACCACCTTCAATCTGTGGCTAATTCGAAGGCGTTGGAAGCTTCCACAATAACTGATCCAAATAGAGATGTGAAGGAGGCGCAGAAAGCAGACGCAGCCACTGTGAAGTTTGAAACTGAAGAGCAACCATTGAGGGAACTTTCAGATGAGCTTCGTCTTGCAGATGATAATGAAACTGCATTAACAAAGATGGAGCATTATTTGAAAAATCATGGATATACGATTATCCCTGCCACTGTCTCTCGCTCGGTATCAAACTCGAGCACTACTGATCCTAATGAATTCGATGATGCAGAGAATACATTTGAGGGTGCAAGAGATCACCAATTGCCTTTGAATGTGAAAGATCCAATAAAAGATAGTGACCGCCTTACAAAAACTATTAGTAGAGGTACCCTTGCCCATGCCGCCAATTTGTACTCGCTTTCACTTGTACCTGATTCAGAATACATTTCGTTACAAAGCAATCGTTTAGATAAAGAAAGGCTCGAAAATAGAATCAAGGAGATAATCGCCAAATTAAGTTCTTTGGAGTTGGATTTGGTTGAGCGGGAACAAGTTGTTAAATGTCTCGAAAGCGAAAACCCACAGCTTGAAGAAGGTATATCGGTGAGACATATCAAATCAAGCGCAAAAGGTCTTGGCTTTTTATGCATTAATGCCACTGATTATGTTGGCACCACGACTCATCCGCATCCAGATGTTAATCATGTAAAAGTTCTCCCTGCAAGTTACTTTAGTCAACTTTTGAAGTATAAGTCAACCTCGGTGGAAAAACTTTCGGATGATGCTTTTGGTGACTTTGCAAAGAAACGGGGCTACGTTAAAAAGAGTTCAAAGGTTTTGGATGTGCCTCAGGTCCCATTCGGTAGTGGAAATAATTCAGAGCCTGGTGTTTTAAGTCACTCTTTGGGTCATACTGGCAGTCGAGATGGAACTCATACACCACCCATGGTACATCCGCTGAGACAGATGACTCACTCAGGGTCAATAAGGTCAAACCTTTCAGAGTTTTCAACAACATCGCTCAGATCAAATGGCATGTTTTCTATGGCGACAGATGTGTCCTTTACAGACAAACTGATGATTCCCGCAATCACACAAGTTGTAATTGGTGAATATCTTTTCAAGTACTATAGGAGGTTTGGCTCAGCATTTAGTATGATTGCAGAGACAAGACACGAGAGATACTTCTGGGTTCATCCGTATTCCTTAACATTATACTGGTCTGAGAGTAGCCCCGTATTATCTAACCCAGCATCGAGAAAGACCCGAGCCGCAGCTATAGTGGATGTTGATAGTGTTGATGACAATAATCCAATTCCAACTGGATTGTACCACAAGAGCATTATAGTGCACTCCACTGATAGGGCAATCAAAATCACCTGTGCAACAAGACAACGTCATAATATATGGTATAACGCCTTACGTTATTTGATTCATCGTAACATTGATGCTTTAAGCGTTGATGAAGACGTGGATGACGATGGCGACATTGAGGCATCTCCTATACTGAATTTGGTCGAATTCCCCAAATCAACTTCCCATAGGAATTTAGAAGCATTGAGAGATACGGGAGATCGACGCGCATTTCCAAGGCCAAAGAGGGTCAGTTCTCAAGAAGGAGTACAAACACCCCGAACTCCTGGCGGAGTTTCTAGGCTTCTGTCATTTAGACGATCGTGAGAGGTGGGAAACTGGCTAGAGACATCAAAAGAAAAAAAGAAACAATCCTCAAAACAAGTATGATTTAAATATTAGCTAGGCTTTTCTATGTACAATTTATTATTGCGAATATCCAGTAGAGATAAAGTTCTTGGTCTTCTTTTGAATACCATGTCACTGATATTGAAAATGAGCACCAAGATGATTGCAATGCATCCGATACCCGCTGTAACACCTAGAACGTCACTATAGCATTTTTTCCCTAAAATGCACCCCAAACTTGTTCTCACTAAGTCACCATCTTTATCCATCGAGCCCAGATTTTTCGAATTCAGATCATATTCTTTACCAAACATGCTGGTGAAGTAATAACTGGGTCCGATAGGCGCAAGACATGCAATACCCCAATTGAAAGAAAAGTTCTCCATGCCAAATATATCACCCACGATGATGGGGGTGAGACAAAAAGTAAAGCCATAGAAAAGACCCACTAGAAAGGAATTAAGGGGAAGGTTAGTGTAGTGTTCAGTGGTTGAGGTAAGAAACTGGCAAAAGGTTGTACCCACTGAAGGTATTAATAGTAGCCATGACCTCGGCATAGAAAATGATTGAGTAATTATGTCACCAAGAATGCCTGACAAGATTCTTCCAATACAATTTGCAATTGAAATCAATCCCACCTGTAGCTGTTGCTGCTGCTGAATTAATAAATCAATTTCATCAATAGTAGTTATGTTTTCCAAATTTTGTCCAGTCGCAACGTATCCGACTAATGATTTAACAATATATCCCACTGAGTAAATGTACATCTGTCCTAGTGAGGCCAAAGAACCAAGAATGGCGAATAGTATCCAAAACTTGTAGCTTTTGAATAAACCGGTTTTGGAATCAGTATTGAAGTTCTTTTCTGGATCTTCTACAGACAGATGATTTCTGAATGTAGAAGCATTTCGAAGCTTATGCTCTTTGTCTGCGATGTACACGCTAGGAAAACAGACAGCATAAATGACTGCTATAGATGTTCCGACAAACCCCAAAAACTCTGACGTCCTCCCTGCATAAAAAACTGAAGCAATGACTGAGTAAAAAAGTGCACTTAAACCATACAATGCTAGCGGTAAGGACGTTGCAACCCCTCTAATACTTGGAAAGCTAACCGCGCAGCATTTGAGACAGGCCGAGTTGATGAAAGTTGAGCCCAAGCCTATTGAAAATAGCCAAAAGCAAGATAATTGGATCTGGTTATGCTGGCGATCAAATTGAAATTTCATCCCTGCATAACCCAACATGATTAAAAATGCGCCTATGAGCAGTGACAAGGTGTAGCCTTTGCGATCCACTACCGCACCGGAAACTGGACCTGCCAATGCTGTCCCAATCGTGCCCCACAAAGCTATTTTGGACGAGTCAGATGCTGAGTATTGTAATTGCTTTGCTAGCTGGGGACTATATGATGAATAAAGGTACAACGTTCCACATATTAAACCAAGAAATGTACATGATAGTAGAACAAGAACTCTCTGCACGTTTCGTGATATCATTCTAATCTCGCTGCTTCATATATTTCTGTATGTTTTTGCTGGTATGAAAAGTCCTATGTGTCTGAACTACGTCGGCTATGGAAATTTTGTTTGTCCAAGGCTTTGTTTTTTTTTTTTTTTGAAGACAATATACACACAGCATTACACAAAATCACGTTTGATAAAACTCAAAGGGGACGGAGCGAGAAAGGTAGAGGTAGGCCGAGTATATTTACTCTGTTTTACTTCAAATGTTGGGTCATCGTCATCATCTTCATCTTCAAGATAACTTATTAAAGCCTAACAAATAGTGAAAACCTTCTACTTTGACATACTCGATATTTAGACGTACTTCTTAATTTCACTTTCCTCAATACCGATAGTTAGCTATAAATAGGAGTTAGTATTGTGTTGTTTGTGCAATATCATCGACAACGTACCAAGATATTCTTCTGTTCTGTGATATCGAGTAAGGTACTTTGAAGCGAATTGAACTAAGGTTTGGCAGTTAGTAGCTCATATTGGATATGACTGGTGCGAATTGTGGTGTCTACTTACGATGCTTTTGTATCGTTTGTGGGCCCGAGTCATATGTGAGGTAAACTGTTTAATCTCACGACTGTCGAATGCTTCTTCATTGGGAAACCACTGTTTGCTTTTCAAGATTTTTATCTTTTCCTTAGCTTCGCATAGGTTTTGAGAAATATCATTGTTGGAAAGAGCCGACCCGATGTCTCTCATTTCTAGATTGGTCAGTTAACGGAAAACTCTTGGTTAAGCAACTGTTCAAAGTTGTACTTACCTGTTGTAAGATCTTTTATTTCAACCTCAACATCTGTTAGTTCCTTCTCCATCTGGGTGACACTTTCCAACAAAGCAGTTTCCGAACTATTGGACTCCAGCACTAGCTCTTTATAACAGTAATAACTTGTCTTACCCACGACCTTGACAATCAATTTATTTTCTTCAACTAGAGCTGCTAATCCTGCTCCCAATTTTTGTTTTGGAACTTGGTTACGCAAATTTAGCAAAATATCATTGGTTGAGTATGGTCTATACTGGGTTCTCATGTAAGACTCTATAATTTCTTTGATTGCTTCCAAGCTCTGTGAGTTTTTGGTCGATGGCATCTCTATGACTAGTGTATGTGTGTGGGTGGGTGGGTGTATCGTCAAATTAGGTAAGAGTAATTCTTTATGTTTTGATCCACTTTTGCAACCAAATTTGAGGAAAAATTATTTGGTGACACCACGAGAACAATTTAAAACCACAAACTTATGCACCATTTGATACAAATGTTGAAAGAAGGTATTTCAGGTGAGTTTTAAGGGTAGCCTGTACTGGGTAATATATTTTCTTCAAGATACAATATGTTAACAGAGGAGGAGTGGGGGACAGCCTTAAAAGGCCAGAGGTCGTGTTATTTGTGCCAAGTGTAATAAACAGCTTATATCCCTCTTCCTATGGGCTTTTGGCTAATGGTACAAACGGAAATGAATTGGATTAGTGTGATTGCAAATGCAAGTCAAATTGCACTCTTTAAAGATACAAATTTCATCACTTTTTGTTTCAAGGCGGGACATGTTTGAATAAGCACACGTGACTCTTTAAGGGACCTCGTATGTTTGCTACATCTATTTCATTTTTTTTTACAATTTACTTTATATACTTACTACAATAATAACATCACTAAACCTAGGGCCTAATGAGTTGATTTCAGAAGGTTTTCTGTGTTCTATGTTAACAGAGCTTTCGTACTTCCCCGCATTGCATACAACAAGGTCTAATTTTAAACGGAGAGAAAGAGAGTCGTGTACGTTTACAAAATTGCGTGTTTATCAAACTTTAACCTTGCGTTATTTCAATTAAACTCCCTTTTGAGAATAAAGGACGAGAAAAGTTAACACAGCACAACATACAACACAACAACAGTGATCACCTTTTATTTTAAGCACAATTCTAAATCAATTGAAACTTATATTGAAACCGTTCTTTAATTCGACTTTTTTTTTACTTTCACACTGTTAACAACAGACAGCTCTTTGAAAATATTTGCTTATCCGTATCCACCGAATTGGAGGTGAACACACACAAAGCCTGATCATTCTTTAACTGAACAGCAATAATGGCCGGTCGTCAATCGAGGTTAGAGGCAGAAAAACTTGCCATTATACAAAACTCTATGTCAAGAGGAAGATCTTTGTCACCTGGTGCCGCATCAGGTAGTGGCCGAAGGGGTTCATTCAAGAGCCGTTCTCCTTCTTTTTCCAGGGAGGATTATAATGGAAGATTAAAGTGGTCAATAACAAACCACGATCCCCTGGAACGAATCAAAAAGGCAGGAGATGCAAATGAATCTGCTTCATGGGAGGATGAGGTGAGCGAGGAAGAACATATTAGTGACGACGATAACAATGAAAAATTTCAGTATGATGACACAGGAAATATCTTGCCAAATTATGCATGTCAGGATGAAATGATCAACGAGGTTAGTTCCATTTTAGAGAATTCTAATTTGAATGATAGGTCCACAGTAAAAAAGTTGGAGGAGTTGACAGCGAATGAGCGAGCACTTGCGGCTGCAAAAAATGCGGGGACCAAAATCGATCCTGATGTATTAAACAGATTAGCAAGTGACAAGCACAAACTTACGGGACTGGAGCACTTGAATTTGATTCAATCTGACCAGGATGTTGAGTCCAGAAGACAGAAGTTGGAGAATTACCAAGCCTATAGGAAGAAAATAATTGAACAGGAAAACGGAAACGGACATGACACAAATGTCAAGACCGAAGGGAACGTAAACTCACAATCGCAAGCCGTAAAAGAGGACAAAGAGGGTGCCACTGAGGAGGACGACTTTATGGTTCCTTATACATCGGCCGTGGAAGATAAGCTCGACAGTGAATTCGCTTCACAGTTGAATGAGACTATACGTGAAGGAGAGGTCGACTCCAACAAGACACACTCGAGAGTCATTCAAACCATTACGAGAGGTAATTTTTTCCAATTGGTTAATCCCAAAGTGAAACCAAAAATGTTTTTGTTATGTATGGATTTTTCTCCCGAGTCTATATTTGCCCTCGAGTGGTCATTAGGAACGGTGTTGGTTGATGGATCAGTATTGTTCATCATATGTGTTATTGAGGATAACGACCCAAATCATCACTTGAAAGGAAACACTTCGAACGAAAACCAACGTGAACAGCAGCGTCTCAATATGTTAAACAAAGCAAAGCAACAGGTTCTTAATTTGTTGAAGCTCACAAAGCTACAGATTCACATTGTTATTGAAATTGTCCATCACCCGATACCAAGGCATTTGATTTTAGAATTCATTGATAATTTGAAACCAACCTTGGTTGTTGTCGGATCAAAGGGGCAAAGTGCTATTAAGGGTGTCTTGCTTGGTTCGTTGTCTAATTATCTTGTTACGAAATCAACTGCTCCTGTCATGGTGGTTCGCGAGAAATTGAAGAAGATCAACAGATTTAAATCTGGATCATCAGTGTTTTCCAATAACATTAAGCCATTGACATTGTCTGAGGCTAGAATTGATTGATTTTGAGCATAGTTTGTAGAGGAAAAGCATAGGTATACGTTAAACGATATTACAATGTTTGTATTCTATATGGATCGTATAAGAGAATAGTATAAGTAAAACTCGCCAATATCACTCAGTAATCGTAACACTTCTTGTCACCCTTTCCAAACAAAACTAAAACTTATGACTTCTTTTTGCTGTATCGGTGATCAATTGACTGTGAATTGTCTGGAAGAGCAATTGACAGACTTGCAGACTGGCAGACTGACTAAACCTTTTGCTACTTTTACTAATCAACGCCTTCTATCTTTTACTTAAACTCAAAAAAATTTACTATTCCTAATATACAAACTATTCTCCTCCAAATAAATGCACTTACTTTTTAATTCCACTTCTCATGTAACGGCCAATAACTATACAATGGTCTCTCTCATATGGTTCCAACGTCAATTGCTCTAATGGTTTGATTCTTTCTTCTCTCAACTTTTGCACTTCTCTAGCGAAAACTGTTTCAGCATCAACAGTGGAATCAATACAGTTGGCCTTAATGGATATAACAACAATACCACCGTCTTTCAAGAACAAGTGGGAATTCAATGCGATAATACGAGCTTGATCTGGTTGAGCAACATCGGCGAAAACACAATCAACCATACCCACCAACATTCTGTACTTTTGTGGGTGTCTGGCATCATCGATGATTGGTATCACATTTGGTCTCTTTTTGGCCATACCAATCAACTCTCTTCCAGGTCTATGAGAGAATTCCACAGCGTAGACCAAACCTTCTGGTCCAACAACATCAGCAACATGAGAGACGGAAGTACCTGATGCAGCACCCAAATACAAAACCTTCTTTCCTGGTGCAACACCCAATTCGTCGATACCACCCATGATACCAGCAGCCAACTTTGATCTGAATGGATTCCATACACGATACTCAATTTTAGTTGGTGCTGCTCCTTCTTCCTTGGCTGGTTCTTCAACGCTTATTCTCTTTTCCCCATAGACAGATTCACCAGGAGCGATGTTTTTCGTGACTAACAAATCCTCTTTTCCTCTGGCAATGAAAACACCAGCGTGTCTATGTGGTTCAATGACAACCTTGGCTCCTCCTCTAGCTCCACCACGTGCGCCTCCACGGCCACCTCTAGCTCCACCTCTTCCACCACCTCTGGCGCCACCTCTGGCTCCACCACGGCCACCTCTTCCTGCTGAGGCACCACCGCGGCCACCTCTTCCTGAAAATCCTCCGCGGCCGCCTCCACGGCTTCCGCCTCTACCTCTTGGTGCTCCAAATGCCATTATGTAGTTATGATTATTATTGAATATAATTTAAGTAAGAAAGTGATTTCTTGATAAGGACTAGGCAAAGTACATCCCATCAGGAAAATTTTTTCGTTTGGGAGATTTTTTTATTTTTCTTTTCTCCTTCTATTATTGCGTAAAGAGAGACAGAAAGAGAGAAAAAGGAGATGAGGCAAAATAATTTGGTATTGGAGGTAGATAAGCTACAAATGATATGTAGATGTTATGAGGCCAATATCATGGTATACATGATATGAGAGAGGGTTAATCTAAAGAGGTCACCACTGTAGATGCTCAGTCTAATCACATCCATTCGAAATCGGTTAGCCGAACCTCTTTGGGTTCTAATTCGATTGGAAATGGACGGACCTTTGGGGGTTAGGCATGTAAATGCTCAATTGGGGCAGTCTCTGGGGGACCATAACGACCTGGTAATATGTGATGGCTACTTAAAGGAAGGAAAAAGAGGATTCAGTTGTCGTAATGCTTATTTCTCAGTTAAAGGGTGATGACCATCGTGCGGCTCAGGCAGAATCACGTGATTAGTTTTATATACAGCGCTGCTTTGTAGTTGGTGATAGTAGTGTTCTTGAGACTTAAAGGGTAGCAGGAGTGAAGACATGTTGTGATTGCATTAGTTGGTTCTACTCTACACAATTGCATCCACACAAACACGGGTATGTTTGCTATATACACTTCAATTAAAGATATAAATTAACATATGCCTCTCGTTTATACACTGCAGGTATATTTACTTAGCTTCAATATCCAAATCCTCTGGTCCAAAACTTAAAGGAAGAAGATCTTTCAAGTAAACTTTGATGTAATCTGAATGCTTACTAAAGAGGAAAAGCACAAGATCTTTGTTGAACTCCCGCATGAACTGCCGACATATTCCACAAGGTACGATCGGTTTTGGTGTATCTGCAGCAATTGCAATGGCTTTGAATGTTCGATGACCTTGGCTCTGTAAGAGAAGGGAAAATGAACGTTAGTAGATGTTTAAAGCAAAGCTGGAGGAGACCACCTTTTTCTTAACAGCCTTCATCCAATAAAAGAAAAAAAGAAATAAGGGTTAGTTTATAGGACAGCATACATACCACTGCTCTCGAAACAGCTGCTCTTTCAGCGCATATCCCTGCGCCATAGGAAGCATTCTCGACGTTTACTCCAGTGATGAAGTCACCTGACTCCGTTAATATGCAGCTAGCGACCCTAGAAAATTGTTAGTTTTCCACTGTTGTTGATGACAAGGAAGTGTCGGGGGAATTATAAACTTACCTAAATTTGGAATAAGGACAATAAGATAGGGTTTTAGCTGCGAGAAAATGGAAAGGTTAGTGTACTGTAACAAACTTTGACTTCTTCTGTATAACATACCCTCTGTGACTAGTTCGCGAAGATTTTCAAATTCCTCTGTAGAAACTTCATCATGGTCGTGGTAAATTTGGATTGTCATATCAATCGTTGTTGAGTTGAGAAATGAGTCTAAAAGTTTCCTATATATCAGCAACAGCCACTTAAATAATGAGAGATAAGCGATCTTTATTTATTGTGTATGTATGGTCGTGTGACAATGAAAAAAAAAGATTTCTTTGTCGTATCCATGTCGTAACTTAGACGCGACACGAAAAAAGAAGCTTTATTTAGATCCTCCATCTGCTTTGCATATAGATGCATTTCCTTTGAGTCTATATCTATATCTATATCTATATCTTCCTTAGCTTAGTAACACTAACTTAGAGTATTTTCTGTTTCTATACTACACACACACAGACTCTCTATTTTTCTGCCAAAGCGTGGTCGTGCGACACCGAACAAAAAATTTAATAAGAGAAGAGAGAAAGAGTGGCAAATAAAAAGAGACAACATTTTTACAACAGAACAAAAAGGTTGGTCTTTTGATTTATTCAAGTCCTCTTTAATTCACCAAGTAATTGCTTGAATATCATTGAGATTTTACATACGACTGATTTTTTATTTTTTTCATTGAAACAGTAATTTCAATATTTAATCAGCGTTTTTTTTTTATATATCCCCATTAGAGCAGCATAATCCTCATATCAAAATGGTAACATTGGAAGAATTAGAATCGGCCCAAGGAGAAGAGGATGCAATTGACCTGGAAATTCTACAGTCATCCACTGCAGATATCATAAACAGAACCAAGTTATTAGACAATGATATCAAAGTCATGCGGTCAGAGTCACAACGACTTACTCATGAAAAAACGATGATGCTAGAGAGGATAAAGGACAACCAGGACAAAATCAATAACAACAAGCAATTACCATACTTGGTTGGGAATGTTGTTGAGCTTTTAGATCTTGACGTTGATAAAGAAGCAAGTGAACAAGGAGCCAACGTCGACATAGATGCTGCAAGATCAGGTAAATCCGCTGTTATTAAAACCTCAACGAGACAAACTATCTTCTTACCAATGATTGGTTTGGTTGATCACGAAAAGTTGAAGCCAAATGACTTGATAGGTGTAAACAAGGATTCGTTTTTGATTTTGGATACCTTACCATCAGAATACGATTCGAGAGTGAAAGCAATGGAGTTGGACGAAAAGCCAACCGAGACGTATTCCAACATTGGAGGTTTGGATAACCAAATTGAAGAATTGATCGAAGCTGTTGTGTTACCAATGAAGCAAGCCGATAAGTTCAAGAAGTTAGGTATAAAACCGCCAAAAGGTGCATTGATGTATGGGCCTCCCGGTACTGGTAAGACTTTGTTGGCAAGGGCATGTGCAGCACAGTCGGGTGCAACATTTTTAAAGCTTGCTGCTCCGCAATTGGTACAAATGTTTATTGGGGATGGTGCTAAATTGGTACGTGACGCATTTGCATTAGCGAAAGAGAAAGCTCCAACGATTATCTTTATTGATGAATTGGATGCCATCGGCACTAAAAGATTTGATTCTGATAAAAGTGGTGATAGAGAAGTTCAACGTACAATGTTGGAGTTATTGAATCAATTGGATGGATTTGGTTCAGATGACAGAGTCAAAGTATTGGCAGCTACAAACAGAGTTGATACTTTAGATCCAGCATTGTTGAGATCGGGTAGATTGGACCGTAAAATTGAGTTTCCATTACCATCGGAGGAGGCAAGAGAATCGGTGTTGAAAATACATGCCAGGAAGTTGCATTGCGATAACGAGTCGATAAATTGGCGAGAATTGGCTAGATCAACAGATGAGTTCAATGGTGCACAGTTGAAGGCAGTAACAGTCGAAGCCGGTATGATAGCGTTGAGAAACGGTAAATCAATCATCAGACACGAAGATTTTGTGGAAGCCATTGGTGAAGTGCAAGCAAGAAAATCAAAGTCAGTAAATTTCTATGCATAGTGCTGCTCATTGAAGGGATTTGAGAGATGTCTAGAGGCAGAAGGGGGGGGGGGAAAGGGAGATTAGTGCCTTGCTTGATGTGTATCTTTTGACTTAAGTAGGAGATTTATACATGATGAAAATGAATTGCAAAATGATCTCAGCTTCTTGTAAAGTAGGTGCAGTTTGGCTACCACTGTTATAAAAGTCAAGCAACTGAGTAAAGTAATAGGTGAATTGAATACAGTACAAACGCAATGTTACAGTAATTGGTTATAAAAAATGCCAGTGAGTATATATTTCTTTCAAATCTATAAGCTACACAATGTAAATTGTTGCCTTTAAAAGCTAAACAAGGATTTGTATTTGTTAACCTCTGCGTCGTCAAAGTCATACATGACAAGTTGCGGTGAAGGAAAGCTAAACTTCGGCACAGAGGCTTCATGACTTGCACCATTTAATTGGTTGGCATTGTTAACTTCATTCTTAGTATCTAAATGGTTGCTTCTGATGCTAGGGAATGACGCGCCAGCAACTTGGTTTGTTTTGGGTACTTTTCCCTCTGGTGTTTTACCGTCTTCTTTGCCATAAATTGGATGAAAATTGGTACTACTCCAATTACTCGAACGGATTTCTTCTCCATTTGGTCCACTGTTGAACCTCGATGGCTCCAGCTTTGTAAATGGCACCTTTATTTGAGTAAAATTTGTAGCACCATCATTCTTTGATAAATCTACTCCATTCATTGCTCCGGAGGCTCCTTGATTATCTGTGTTGAAATTCAGAGCTAATGGTTGTTCAAAGCCTTTTGAAAAAAGGGGCACCTTTGACTTTGCTTTCAGTTGATCAGCAGCAGGCTTTGTGAATGAAGTTAAATCAGCGGCTAAAGTGTCTGTAGTTTGAATAGAGCTTTTTGGTTTATCCATGCCATTGAAGTTGGTTTTAGTCTGCTGTTCAGGAGGCTTTTGTGTACCGTCCAATTTCTGGTCATTGCCAGCAGAGGAACTGTCATGCTGTGCGTCACTTTCTCTTTCAGGCACACCTCCCTTAGACAAAGGCCCCGCTTTGCTGTACGATATCGTTTTACTGATGGTCAGAGCTGTGACGTTTGAAGCTGTGGAGGGGGTTTTCACTCCCTTTCTGTTTTTCTTTTCAGATCCAGAGCCATACGGATTGATGAACAATTTTAGCTTGTCGTGCTGTTGTTGCTGCGAATCGCGGCTGGTTTCATCATTCTCACCCTTGCCATCCAAAATGCCCAACAATGTTTGTGCCGTTTTGCTAGGGGACTTTGAATTACGAATTTTCTCGGTAGTAGTGTTTGTCAAATTGGCATTCAGGATGTCTGCATTGGTCAAAGTTTTATTGTCACTAACTGTCCTGGATGGAATGGAGCTTTTAATTCTACTTTTGTATGGTGCTGGTCGTCTCGATCTCAAATTAGCTCTCCTTGTGGAGAGGGAAAAATTCCCCCCTGTTGTGTTGTTTATTACCAGGTACGATCTTTCAAATGTATCGTTATAAACGCTGTTATACTTGGGGGTGTAACCTGGTGTATGCAAGGTGGTATTTCCATTTATCTTGAGACTTTTCTGCTTTGTTGGTGTTGATCCAAGTATTGAAGTCTCGTTTCCCACAAGTGTTGTGTCATTACCCAAGTGTCTTCTCTTCAAAGAGGGTTCGGCGTTACTGAAGCTCAATTCGGCAAACTCTCGTTTGTATGGGGTGCCTGCTCTAGACTTCGACATTAATGCCACAACCCCTTCATATTCCACGTCAGTGAGCTTTCTATTTCCTTTTTCTTTAAAAAATGCTGATAGAATGTCATTGGGATTCTCAGTTGTTTCATCTTTATCGATGACAATTGATGATGATGATGATGAATTAATTGCAGGCGGTTGTTGTGATGACTGGGCGTGTGCTGTAGAAATATCATGGTGAATATGAAAGGAACCAGGCAACTTGAATGTCAGCGAGCCCAAGAATTTGGGTTCCGGTTGAGAAGAGGTCTTGGTGACATTTGATGCGTTGCTATCTAAAGAAACATCCTTGTCAGCGTCTGATTTATTCCATGATGTGAATATATTTTTTAGTTTGGAACTCAACGTTGATGGATTTTGCCGACTATCCAATTGAATAGACAGTCTATCTTTATACTTCTGATATCTCTCCCTGTTATCCATCTCTTTCTAAAGGTTATTTGATGATAATTAAGTTCAAACAAAGCACATATAAATTTTGACATCAACGAGAACAATTTTTTTTTTTTTTTCTTTTGGTTTTCTGTTTTGTTGCTCTTGATCCAAAGAGATGGACAACCACATGGCAAATAGAAAAACATTTCATCAACCTCGGACATATACCATTCGTTCGGGATGAAATATAAGCTGAAATTAGGGACTTCTTGTGTTAGCTTTCCACAACTGGGTATTTCTATTTGTGTAAACTCACCCCACCGATACAGACAATTAAACTTTGTGTAGTGGCTTACTTTGCGACACTGATCAGAACTGTCGCGACTTTATTGCACAGTTAAAAAAAGTTTTGTTGGATTTAAAGGTTAACCCGAAGACAGTCTGGCTTTGTTAATAAAGCAGCAGCATTGTCGACTGATTCATCTCCACATTGGCCTTGATCTGTTTAAATTTATGACGTCTCTTATTGAATTGCTATACAGGTTTGACACTTATATTACGAGCCAGCTAGAGGCGAATTCGTTCACGTCAAATTTGTTAATAACTCCGACTTCGAAATTCATTACGGAAATTCTTGTTTTGACATTTATTGGCCTTTTGAGCTATGAGATTATCTATTGGAGCGGGATCTATTTGAACTTATGGGAATACCATGCTAAGGATGTGTTTACGGAGGTGCCTATCCATTGTGCCCATGTCAACATACGATTAAATATTATCAATCGATCCAGTGAGTCGAAATTAAACGAGTATTACGATATCAAAAATAAATCAAGGTACCATAATCTCCTATATTGGAAACAATTGAATGACTTGAGTGCAAATATGTTCAAGCTAAACAAATTTATTAAATACTACTTTGAATTTAGCCCTGATGATTTTGAAATGAACAAAGAACCCGAGTTTGGATCCACGGTTCTGCACTTGAGAGCTAAAATTTTGAAGTTGTTCAATGAATCTGAACTTTACAGGGACTATGAGAAAAGCGCCATACAACCTAATGATGTTAAAATATTCAACAATCAAAATAAAGAAGTGTCAATTGAAGAGAATGATAATTACTTAAGTAAATGCAACATTGAAACAGGTAATACTATTGACACCATTGTTATATTGTGAAAAAAAAAATAACAACCAAATACACAACTACTACCCTTTTACTTGAATGGTATGTGAGACTAAAGAAGCAAAGAAGGGAAATCTCATAGGGCAGAATTGCTTTCATGAATATCAAAAATATGTTGACTAGATGGTTTGACTGATTGTAGTTTCTTCTCTGTCAAGACAAACAACTTGACAAGACCCTCCAACTTGCTTTCCAATGCCAACCTAACTAAGCTCTCTACTTCATCCTCATTTGTCAGGCTAGTGTCTTTACGAATCAATTTCTCGCCCTTATAAAGTTCTGACGAAGGCTTCGTAACTGGCTGACTCAGATTAAGATCAACCAACTGATCCCAATCTCTGTTCTCGTCATCTAAATCATCTGAATCAGATTCGTAACGATCATCTTCAAAGGTATCAACAACATCTTCAAATGTAAAGCTTTCATAATTGGGGCCCGTATAAATAACAGGCTTAATTTTTGGTTCGTAAACCACATCGTCGCTCCTCCCCCGTACTGCCTCATTGCCATGTTCAATTTTGAGCCTGACGTCATCTATTAACTCATTGCCCTCATATCCATGATTATAGTCAGAAAGACTCTTTACCTCATATATCTCCAAAATTTCCTTATTAACCAAACGAAACACTTGGTTTCGTAAGTTGACATTAAAAAAATTCCTCAACTCTGAAGGAAGCTCTTTTTGATCACTCAAATCCTTCACTGAAGGATCAAACCGGAAACATAAAAGACTCATTGTGAATTCTAGTTCCTTCAATAATTTATGCAGATTAGAAATCTTATTAATCAAATTGCACCTAACAAAGGTCAAAATTTCATTTAAAAATTCTCTTTCATCAGACTCCAGGTGTGATGAGAATTTGTGTTTTCGAATCATTTCTATCAAGTTAAGACGTAATAGTTTGAAATGAAGGAGATTATTTGAGTCTAGTATAATCGGGAACCAGCGACTGATTTTAGTTATTGCTTCAGTGATTTCTCCATTTAAAATCAACCGCTTGATCTCTTGTCGTTGGCTAATTGTAGAGTATCCTGCCGTCAACGTGGTGTTTTGCGCATTATGCGACAGTGATGTGTCGCCGCTGTTGCTGTTGCTATTGTTGTTGCGGTGGTGATAATTGATGTTGCTGTAATAATTCAAAATCACGTCACCAAACTCATCATCGGGGAGCTTGCTGATATTATTCAAGTTTTTTTGTAACGTGCTTTGCTGAGTGGACTGGGATGCTTGGGTTGTATCTTTCTGGTTATCAGTGTTGGGGGCAAGGGATTGTTGCCATGAGAGTCTTTGAAAATCCAAATTCAATTCTTCGGCGAAGGCAAGTGCCCCTTCCTCGTAGCCTTCATGTATAAGGTATTCAAGTACCAATTGGTCTATATCTCTCTTTTGTATCGATTCATCAATTTCAGACATGTTTAAGTGTTGTCGGTGGTGATTGGAGCTGAGAAGTAGGGATTTACTGTGTTAGATAAAGAAAATGTAAATCAAAGTTAACTATGTTCTATTTAATGTCGCGCGAAAGCTGTACGACAGGTGAAATGACCAATGGCACCAACCAATTCAGTTTGGTGTATCCAAACTCCAGAAAATTGGCAGGTAACGTTCAATCGTGACCTATAGAAGAATAAATGAACATTTTTGTCAGGGTGAATTCACCTCCCATCACCAGAATACAACAAAGATAAAAAAATCACTTTGAAACCAAGCAACACCCATGTCTCCATTTGATTGTTTACCATTGGAAATTTGCAAGAAAATTGTATCCTATGCTGGTATTGAAAATTTAATCGAGCTTTTGCTGCCTGAAGGCTCCAAACTATTTGGTGAGAACCCTCGTTTTAATTTGACCATTAATGAAGTCGTCGAGAAAAGCATGCTCCAATACAATAATCGAATTTTGAGACCAGAGCAGCTTGAAGACTATTTTGACAACGAGACATTCTTCGATAAACGAAAGCTACAACTTCTAAGGACCCAGGAGGACTTTCTCACCCTATATAAGTACTGTTTGTATCAACAAATTCTGGTTGTTTTGGGAATCGCATTTTTGATAGAGTCCTCAGCGGACACAGCGTTGTTGAGGCAAGTGACAGTGCACTTACGAACAGATAAGGTGGTAAAGTTAAATATAGATCTTGAGGGAGATGAGTATGAAAATATAGACCCTGTTCTTGAAGAATTCTTTCATATTAAATCGGTGAATGGATTACATCTCGGACATGACTCCAATAGAGTCAACCAAATTGACTGTTACTTTCCCGAGTTGAAATATGCCCACTTGGGAAAGTTACTGGATGAAATTTTTGGAGATTTAAAAAACACTAAGCTTGAGCATTTGTCATCCAGAAGCAGGAGTTCAGAACAGACCCTAAATTTTAGCAAACTTCCCCGTTCACTAAAAGTTTTGGATGTATGGGATGTGAGAATAACTATGGATGTTCAAGATTCACATTCGTTTTTATTGCCACAATTGGAAAAGCTATGTTTGTATGAAGTCACCGTAGAGGAAAAGGTAATTGCCGATATTGTTGAGTTTATTAGGCTGCAAATTGAGACTTCCGTGAAGACATTTGAATGGGAATCATCGCATACTCGGGATGCTGTAGATTCAGTAGCACGTGATATAATGGTGACTACTTCGTCTCCAATCACGAGCTTAAGCATGTACAAGCGCGGTTCGTCGGGATCTTGCAATTGGTCAAGATTTCAAGATTTGAATAAATTGACAATATTGGGGTTTAGCGATACCTTCCTACAGAATGATTGGCAGTTTCCTTTACATTTAGAGCTATTGAGAATAGATTCGTGTAGGATTACAGATTTTATCCATCTTGAAGACGCTTTGCCTTTTGGATTGAAAAGACTTGAAATATCAAACACTGAATGGGGGGATAATCTGCATGCACCAAACTTTTCACAGCTAAAGAAGTTGACATATCTTTGTTTGTTGTCCATGACAACGGGTGAAAACATCGAAAAATTCGTATTTTCTGATTCGGTGGAGGAATTGCATCTAACAGAAAATCCGGCTTATTCATTTGACCATGTGCTGTTTCCGCAATTTTTACAATCTTTGAACATATCATCATCTAATTTGACCTCGATTAACAATGTGTCATTTCCAGAAAGTTTGCGATCATTAGACATAGCGTGCAACCAGTTGAGGTCAGTTGATGGGATTGAGTTTCCTAAGAACTTAGAAAAGCTCGATGCAGAAAATAATGAGTTGAAGTCATTTTGTAAAATTAAAATTCCATCAACCACCAGGACTCTTCTATTGGGTGGGAATGGATTGGAGAGTGTTGATCTTTCGACAAACGATGGAGGCGAAGCTCTAAACCTAGATAAGTTGGAGCTAAGGTTCAACACTAATTTGACAATGAACAACCTAATACTTCCATACACGGTGAAAATATTAGACCTCAGTAGCTGCAATTTGAAAAGTCTTGATGGGGCCCAACTTCCTGCCTCTATTGAAGAATTGGACTTTTCTTGTAATTGCCTAAAAGAGGTGAATATCGCCTTTCCGGTTGATTCTCGTTTGAAGAAATGTGACTTGAGTGACAATTTGTTGGCCATTGTCGATGTCACTTTTCCACTATCTGTGACAGTTGTTAGCCTCGAGCATAATAAGCTCGAGCAAATTCCACCCTGTGTCAGTGATCTTAGATACTTGAAGAACTTGGACGTATCTGAGAACAGATTGCGGACAGTTGATTGCTCATTCAGATCTAATTGTTTAGCGTCCTTGAATTTAAAATCGAATAAAATTAAATCACTTTACCTTGTCTTGCAACGGACTAACCATTTTGGATTACCAGCAATCAATTTGAGAGGAAACAAGATAGGTTTAACGAGTGCGATTTATTTGAAATGCGTCGGAGAGATGGTAACCTTGCTCACAGACGAAGCTGTCGAGCCTAGTGCAGCTAACAATCTGGAAATCGTAACTGTGGACAAACTATTGACAAATTCACATAAAGTGAGGACTATTTTTTCATAATAATTTCTCAGTTTGGAATCTGACACGATTTAAATATGGAAAAAGCAAATGTTATAAAGACTACTTGTTGATCAGCCTTAGAAGCACTTTTGAACGAATTGAGGACTAGGGGTTCAGTGCTTTTGTTCCTTATACAAATTTTGCAATTGCCGCACCCTCAAAAGGGACCCCACCCTAAATTTGGGTTGATCTTACAGGACCTGCATTATAAATGATAAAAATGGCTTCGATATTGCAATGGGGTAATCAAGACTGGGAGAGAGAGAGAGAGAGAGAGAGAGAGAGAGGGGTCATTTGTATGTGCAAAAAGACAATCACAACAGTTAGGCATAGTGGCCAAAACTCGAAGGCAGTTATGAGCATTGTAAAGGATGTAGTAAAAACCTTCGCAACTGATCATCCAAAGGGCTTCCGCCAACACACAATACGTTCATAGTCGTTTTCTTCTTCTTTCTTTTTTAATGGCTTTGATTATGTTATTGCTTAAGAGAAATTTGGTCAGTGAATGTTCACAATTTACTATTATTTAGGAGGTACTTTAATTTGTTGTCCGCAAATCTGACAATCTACACTGTAGATAACTTTACATTGTCGCAATTTGATAATATTCTTTTTTTTTTCTTGCGATACAGTCTTTTTATTTTTGTTTCATACTAGTGCGACATAATTCTTCATACCAACGCGACATTTATTTTTCATACTAAAATGACTGAATTTTTCATACCAATGCGCATTAATTTTTCATACCATTCCGACCTATAATTTTCATACCAGCGCGACACAGTCTGCCTACAATGATTTTCTGTGTAGTTTAGTGTGCGCGCTAATACGAAAAATTTAGGGCGAATTGGTATGAATAATTTTGACGCACTAGTATGAAACAAAAGTAAAAACACTGTATACATTTTCATCACTGTCTTTTTTCCGTGCCCAAAAGTGAAAAGATTTCTCGAAAGTTGGTCGTAAAGTTAGTTGCATTTACAACAACTCTCGCACAATAGGTCAATAGGATAATTTATCAAATTACACGACCAAAATTAGCTGCAAATCACTTACAACAAGTGAACTGAAAGTCTATAAATATGGTCTCATTTCTCTGAATTCATATATTATGAATTATATACTTTAAGAAATATATACTGTTCTTCACAACATCATAAAATTTACTATGTATTAAGTCTTTCGCAATTGAGTTGATTCAGAATAAATCTACTACATACACTCAAGACAAACATAGAGCCTTTACACTAACTCACTCACAATATTTGACAAAATGCTGATCACATTGAGCTTAAATAAACTTACAACATAATTGGTTCAACTGGTTTTAAGTATAAATTTGGTGCTACTTGAGGATTTTTGAGTCGCACGGTTCTTGTTTAACTAAGAATTGTTGGCTACACGACACGCTCTAAGCCTTTTCTTCAAGTGAAATCAAATACTCCTTTATCACGATCCAATGATATCATATATACTTCAGAACGAGAGATTTAGTGGCATCTGTTTACTAGTTATTTGATTGAAGAAGGCACATGTGACGGTGATGAATGCATTTAGGTTGACCCTTCTACATGGAGCCTAGAGTGTTGAGCACATTTATTAAAAGTACGAAGCATTTCTCATCAGCCAGTTGATGCTTGTTTAATTTAACTAAAGGGTGCACTTTGGGGTCCCCACCGTTGCCACTTCCAAGTGATCATCCAATTGCAGGGCAGGAGTGACTAACTAGCTGCGCTAAATTGAACGACAATGGTGTTGTGGAATGATACTCATATGAATGAATTTGAATAGTTGGAATGAATTTGATTGCCAATAGGGCCAGTATGACGATCTTTTCATCGGTAGATCGATTTTACAAAGTGGTATTCCATTCAAAGGCTATTGTAAGGTCGAGAGCTCAAGAAATGGTCATCATTTAGAGACATGCTAAAATTTTTGGGCACGCATTGTCAACCGCATAATAACATATCAACACTGTTTACTGAAGGAGTGCCTTGCACCTGAGTCATCAAGAGATTAATAGCAAATGCATTATTAGCAAGGTATGAAAATACTATACATAAAATTAATCTTTCATGCAACACTCTCTCACACATTCTTCCTTACCACTGCCTCTTTAAGACATTCATACTGATCCCGGTTCAATGGCTTCGGCTCAAAATCCTGCAACTTGAGGAATAAGTAGGTTAAACCACTTACATCACCTTCACGGTAGTTATAATTGTCAATTTCAAACACTGGCATAACACCGAGGACGGTTGTCTTGAATTCTTTGAGCCTAAATTGTATAATAGCTGATGTAGTCACAATGAAGCAGGTGTCCGTTTTAGTTCCAACCATGCAACCCAGAACTTGGGTCATTGCTGCTGAATGGGTGTTTTTGCCATCCTTGTAAAAGTCGTTGAGGGGTTCCATTTTATACTCAATAAATGATTTCTTATCTCCCGATTGGATTTGGAGATCTGTCCTGAGATAATGACCGTCCACAGTTGCCAATTTTACTTCAGGTGTGAATATCCAGCCGGACATTCTCAACAAAGGGGCCAAGTACGTGTTGATGACGTAACTCACAAAGGACGACTCCAAATGAATGAGAAAATCCACAACGGGAACTTGAAGACATTGACAATCGCGATCTGTGTGGAATTTTTTCAATTTGACGTTGTTGTATCTCAACCCTGAGTAAGTAAATTTACTTGAAGAAACAACACAATTATCATTGTCTAACTTGTTATAGACGTCTGTATTTGGAGCTGACGATCTGAAAGTGCCCTCAATGTGTTGAAGGCCAAATCCAAAAATGGAAAACAACTTACCGGTCAATAAGTTTTGGGGAAACTTGTAAAAAGGAACCTTTTCTTCGATATCGTCTAAGGCTTGCCATTCGCTATCCATGTGAGCGTACAATGCCCTTATGTATACATTGATAGTTTCCAGAAGTTGCGGTGATATCTCCTCTTCGATTTTTTCTTCCCACTGGAAGAGCTTACTGGTGATTCTAACAATCTTTTTGAATAACTTTATCTCTTCGTCAGTTAAACGTTTCATTTCCAATCTCCAAGCCAGTGATATAAGTTCATCTAAATTCTCCGCTTCTCTAATTTGTAATTTATTGATATCCTCCTGTAATGATCCAAATTTGACATCTGAGTCTGGTCCAATAAAGCTCGAACTGCTTTTGTTTGCAATCTCCAAGGTGAAAATGGAGATATTCATGGCATCGAACAACCTTGTTCTAGGGGAAGGCATTATAGTATTACTTGGGTGGTTTCATTGAACCACACAATAAGGTAAAATTTTCCTTGTTTATTCTTCACGAGGGAAAGTCCACAACTGAATACGTAGTGTTTTGTTATGCCGAAAAACTGTTCGTAAACAATTTCGCAGCCAATATGCACGCTACCTCTCAAAGTTTTTATCTTCACTCTAAGCTCGCTCACAATCTCATTTCAAATACAATACCTGAAACTAGTTGACTCTTAAATCGTTGGTGATCTAAATCGAATAGGCCTGACTTGGTATAAGCTGATTGAAGAAATTGGAGTTGTACACTGAGTACAATCGAAGTTCTCCATTAATTGTCTTCCCAATGTTGTCACTGTTTACAGATAGCTCCCTCCCATATCAAGCAACATAATCTTTCGGTAATGGAAATCTTTTCTGAATGCTCTCGTACTGTCTAAACAATCTATCTCGAGGTAATACGAAATTCTTTCTTTCTCGGCAGCATTGGGCAAAGATTTGATACAATTCCCACTGCGTATAATACGCTTTGGGTGTAGAAAATTCCTCGTGTTTCGNCTCAATGCTCTCGTACTGTCTAAACAATCTATCTCGAGGTAATATGAAATTCTTTCTTTCTCGGCAGCATTGGGCAATGATTTGATGCAATTCCCACTGCGTATAATACGCTTTGGGTGTAGAAAATTCCTCGTGTTTCGCATCCTTTTTTATACTCATTAAGCATTCATCAAGGCCAGTCTGGTCAAAGTATAACATATGAACTCCCACAATTCCATGAGGTACTCTAGGGCTCATCATAATTATTTTCTCACTAATTTCATCCTGACATTCTTGTTTCCAGTAGAACCACAAATTTATGCTTGCTACTGGGAACGGGGATGATAAACTGCACATTGTCTTGATAGGCACCTGTTTTAGTGAGCCATAACAAACAGTGAGCATTTCCAACGTCTTGTGTTTGTAGTTTAACAAGTCATTGGCGTAGCTATCCTTTTCGTTTGTTTTTCTATATTGTAAGCAAAGCAGAAATAATCGTGGGTATTTCGTATCCAATTCAAATACCGAAAAAAATCTATTCAACGGAGAAGACACCACTAGTGTCAATTCTTGAAGGTTTTCCGTATTGAAAACTTCATCAACAATGAAACTGTTTGGCATCCGTAATCGCTTGATTGATAATTTCCTCAATTTCATATTCGTAAACACATTTGAATAATTGACACACCGATCGAAATCCATCAACAATGTAGTTATGTTCGATAACTGACTGGCCAAATTAATTACACTTTGACGTGTTCCGAGAGGTAAATAAAACCAAGTTCTTTCTTCCTCGGGTTGAACTAGTTTCCTTCTTGGTCTTCGAATGTACTGGTTGAAAATAAATATTGTCTTCAACTTACAAGCTCGAATGTAACCTGGTATAGCGTCGCAAAAATCAACATCTGAATTTTCCACCCAATAAAAGAACCGCCTCAGAATAACTTTTAAATACTTGATTGAATGAAAATGCCTTAAAATACAATCAATAAGTACTAAATGACCTTCATAAAGTTCAAAATTCCGAATAAATTGATCAGAATCCATCTGCCACATATATCTCTCTAGTGTTTTCAATGATATAATTGTAAATTGGTTACTCTTGAAGTTATTTATATCTTTATGGTATTGGAATCTGTGTCTGAGAATATCCTCGCGAGCACTAAACCATTGCTCCAGTAAGAATGAAAGTGTGTTATATACATAAATGTTTCGGTATAGCTTGATTTTTGTTACTTGGTAGAAACTGGAATGCATTGGAGCAAGTACCAATGCTTGGTGTTGGTTAATATGGTTGAAGATATTTTGCAAGACTGTGAAAGGTAAACTAGACAAAGACATTGTATGGTGTAGCATGAAACCATTGAATGAAAAGAAGATCCGATCACTTTTGATTACTTTATAGTGGCTCTGGGAACAAAGTCGTTATCCCAATGCGAGAGTCTTGCACTTTCCTCAAAATAGTTACTGTGGTTACTCTGAGTGTGCGGACAAGTATCCCCAGCAGAAAGAGCTGAGTTGCATATAGTTTCACATGAGCTAAAAGGCAGTCAATTCGTCATTCTCAATCAACCATTTGCGTTGCTGTAATTAAAGCGTACATCCCCACGGTATTCACAACTAATGAGGTGAAAATTTCCTTGTGGATTGAGCAACTCCATCTGCTACTCCCACTGCAATTGATCCATCCAGCACCTGTGAAGAAACAAACAAGTTATCTTCACCACTTGGCGAATCCAAAGCAGGACTCGATTTGGATTTTTTAAACATGTTTGAACTTGGCTTTCTATCTTTTGGTTGATAAGCAACGGCAACATTGTAGTTGGAAAACGTTGTCAATGCACTGTCATAATTTAGTGAAGCAGTGCTAGTTGTAGCTGGTGGTGTAGATGCAGACTGTGTATTTGATGCTGTTGATGATGAGGAAGTTTAATATGACTTGCTGCTACTATGTGAGTTCCATGATGAATTACCGTTTGAGGATGAGGAGGAGCTGGTGAATGAACACGATCGTGTTGATAAGATGGATGATGAATTTAGTATACTGCGACCAAAAGGTACGGATCTTTTCGAAAAAGCTGAGAGTAACATGGCTATAATGGCTATTATTAAACAATACTTGAATACTCTTGTTGAAAATAGCATGTATTCATAGGTATTGTCGAATAACCCTATACTGTGTTTTTCTTTTTATTTCATACCAGCGCGACATAATTGTTTATACCAA